GCTAACATACTTAGTGGTAAAAGACTGCATGCTTTCCGCGCCTAAGACTGGGAACAAGGCAAAGATTTCGACTGCCCACTCTCATCCAACAGCCCTGGGACTTCTAGCCAGTACAATAGCAAGACAGGGAAATAAAAAGCATGTATATGGTAAAGGAAGAAAAAGAAATGTTTGTATTTTCAGAAGACATGATAGAAATTCCACTGAATATACATATAAACTACTAGAACTAAAAATTGAGTTCAGCAAGTTATATGGTATAGGATAAACATATAAAAATCAATCTCTATATACTAATAAAGAACACGCAAATACCAAAATTAAAAATATAACATTTTAAATCACGTAAGCCTTTCTGGAGATGCCGATCTCCCAGTAAGAACATGCTTCTTGCAGAAGATCTCCAGAAGAGAAGAGGAAACACAAAAGAAGCACCTGACTCAGAGCCCCAGTTCCTACTTCATGGATGTGAAGTGCCCAGGATGTTGTAAAATCACCACAGTCTTTAGCCAGGTGCAAACAGTGGTTTTGTCTGTCAACTGCTCCACTGTCCTCCACCAGCCTACTGGAGAGAAAGTAAGCTTCCAGAAGATGATCCTTCAGACAGATGTAGCACTAAACCACCCTGAATCGAGGTGAGTGGGAAACCATCCAAAAAAACACATTACGGATTTTGGAAATCACTCAAAAATGAAATGTGCAGGTATACTTCTAACAAAACGTGCAAAATTTGTATGCTGAAGACTACATAATACTGATAAATCAAAGAATATCTAAATACAGGGAGAGACACACTGCATTTATGGATTGAAAGACCCACCATACTAAAGATGCCAATTCTTCTGAACTGATAAACTGCTTCAACTCAATGACTATAAAAAATAAAACAGCAAGAGTTCTTTTAGATATAAACAAGATTATTCTAAAACTTACATGCAAAGACAAAGGACCTAGAGCAGATAAAAACAACTTTGAAAAAAAGAATGATAATGGGAGGAATCTTTCTGCCTGATTTCAAAACTAATTATATAGTTGGAGTAATCAGGACTGTGATATTGGCAGAGGCACAAACACATAGATTGATGGAACAGAATAAGGAACCCAGAAGCAGACCCATGCAGTGTGCTCAACTGATTTTCGAACAAAGGTGCAAAAGCAATTCAATAAAGGAAACCATTCAACAAATGGTGCTAAAGCAACTAGACAACTACAGGCAAAAGAAAGTATCACACATTATATAAAAATAAACGTGAAATGGATCACAGACTAATATATAAAGTGTAAAACCATAAAACTTTTAGGAAAAAATGTCTTAGGATCTAGGACTAAGTATAGAGTTCTCAGACTGCACACCAAAAGCGTGATTCATAAAAGGGAAAATAATAAATTGGATTTCATCAAAATTAAAACCTTTTTCTCTGCAAAAGACCCTCTTACTATAATGAAAAGACAAGATATAGACTGAAAAAATATTTGCAAATCACATAACTGATGAAGCCTAGTACCTAGATAAATATAAAGAATTCTCAAAATTAAACAATAAAGGGGCACCTGGGTGGCTCAGTCACTTGGGTGTCCAACTCTTGATCTCAGCTCAGGTTTTGATCTCAGGGTCACGAGTTCAAGCACTGCAATGGGCTCCATACTGGGCATGAAGCCTATTTTTTAAAAAAATAATAATAAAATTTAAAAAATTTTAAAAGCTCAACAGTAAAAAAACAATCCAATTAGAAAATGGGCAAAAGACATAAAATGACATTTCACCAAAGATGAGATACAGATGTCAAATGATGTTATGAAAAGATGTGCAAAATCATTAGCCATCAGAGAAATGCAAATTAAAACCACAGTGCTATATCAGTACACACCTATCAGAATAGCTAAAATAAAAAATGACAATATCATTAGCAAAAACAAGGTTGCAGAAAAACTAGATCATTGATACATCACTGGTGAAACTGTAATGTGGCAAAGCTGCTCTGGAGAGCAGTTTGGCAGTTTCTTTAAAAACTGAACATGCAACCACCGTGCCGCCCAGCAGTTACCCCAGAGCAGTCAAGATCTGTGTTCACACAAAAACCTGCACATGAATGTTTATAGCGGTTTTATTCATAATCATCAAAAACTGAAAGCAAACTGTGGTATAAACATAGCACGTGATACTAGCTAACAATAGAAATAAACAAAGACACACACAACAACCTGGATGAACCTTCAGAGAATTAGGCTGGGTGGGGAGGGGGGAAGGTCAATCCCAAAGGGTTGTATAGAAATGAGAGGTCAAGAGGATTCAAAAGAAAATGACAAATATTGAAGATAATGCCAAAAAATCTAATATGTAAATGGTAGGGGTTCCTAAAAAAGGAAAACCAAATCAAATACTAAAAAATAAAATTCAATAAAGTATTCCTAAAATTAAAAAATTTTGAACAGTATACTGAAAGAGAATACGTGACAGGTTTCCTGGGTGGTTCAGCAGGTTAACTCTTGATTCCGACTCTTAATTTCAGCTCAGGTCATGATCCTAGGGTCCTGGCATCAAGCCCTATATCTTGGCTCCATACTCAGTGCAGAGTCGGGTTGAGATTCTCTCTCTCCCTCTCCCTTTGCCTCTCCCCCACACTCACACTCTAAATAAATAATAAATAAATAAAATATTTTTTAAAAAGAAAGAGAATATGGCTTATTTGAGAACATCAACCCAGATGACCATAACCAAGATGTATTCTAACAAAATTTCATAATATTAAAGTCATCTCAGCAAAAACAATAACTGACTTGATCATTAGATTGTCATAGTATGTTTTGATAATAATGTTACATGAAAATGTAGTAACGTTTTTAAGGTACTCAAAACCAGAAAATAAGAACCAACTTTTTCATATCCAGCAAAACTGACTTTCAAACTATTGAATATAATGTCATCCTAGGAAACAACTAGGGAAAGAGCTTCTTGTAAATCACAACCACACAGGATGCCTGGGTGGCTCAGTCCTTAAGTGTCTGCCTTCGGCTCAGGTGATGATCCCAGAGTCCTGGGATCCAGCCCTGCATCAGGCTCCCTGTTCGGCAGGAAGCCTGCTTCTCCCTCTCCCTCTCCCACTCCCCCTGCTTGTGTTCCCTCTCTTGCTGTCTCTCTCTCTCTGTCAAATAATAAATGAAATCTTTAAAAAAAAAAAAAAAAATTGCAACCACCGTGATTATATCAGTAGTTCACAGCTTTTGGTGTCATGATCCCTTTGCATTCTTAAGAATTACTGGGAACTCCAAAGAGCTGTAGTTTATGTGGGTTATGTCAAGCAGTACTTATCTATTAGAAATTAAAACAAAAATTTTTAATATGGGGTCACCTGGGTGGCTCAGCTGGTTAAGCATCTGCCTTCAACCCAGATCATGATCCCAGGGTCCTGGGATAGAGCCCTGCTCTGCTGAGCAGGGAGCCTACTTCTCCCTCTCCCTCTGCCCCCCACTAGTGTTTGATCTCTCTCTACCGTTCTCCCTCTCTCAAATAAATTAATTTTTTTTAAAAAGAAAAGAAAAACTTCTATTTATTTGTTTGATTAAATAATGGTGATAAACCATGACACATTAACATAAATGACATATTAATGAAAAGGATATATATTTTTTAGCACAGAAAAAATAGTGAGAGAAAAGGAATTCTTTTACATTTTAAAAAATCTTTTTAAAGATTTATTTATATTAGAGAGAGAAAGAGCTCACATGAGTGAGGGGAGGGGCAAAGGAAGGAGGAGAGGAAGAATCCCAAACAACTCCATGAGGGGCTCCATGTGGGGCTCAGTCTCACGACCCTGAGATTATGACCTGAGCCAAAATTGAGTTGGAGGTTTACCAGCTGAGCCACTCAGGGGCCCCTAAAAAATCTTTTTAATGTATTAGTTAGGATTCACTTGGTCATATATTCTTCTATATTCAGTCTGTAATAATATGTTGTTTTGATTAAAACACATGTAGAAAATGTAGCCTCTCTCAGATTTATAGCTGGAAAGAGGGGAATAATTTTAATAGCCTTTCAGTTACTGTAGATATTCTTCTTTGATAAGAAACTAAAACTCAACAAATGGTAGATTCTTATAAATTAGTTGTAATGTGGAATCTAAAATCTGATTAATGATCTTTTCATGATCTGTTATGTTAAAATTCATTGGTCTACCTTGTATTTTGAGTGGACCTTCTAACCATGATAATTTTGCTGTATCATGCATTGATCATTTGGCAAGGGGTTCACAGGACTATGCCAATCTCCAAAATGTTGACATGGTTCACTAAACAATATGAAAAGATCATCTTTGGTAATATCACCATTAATCTCAACCAAGTAATCTTTATTATTGGGAAGCTGCGGCAAACTCAAGTTTTCCAAAATTTTAATTTTCTCTGGAAAATCTGATTTTCACTGTTAGTATCATTTTCTTTGAAGTGACAGGCTTCTTTTGTTTATTTTTGAGAAAATGTCTACCAAACATATCCAAGGCATAATAACCATAGCGTGTCTGTCAGTCACACATTCAAGAAAAATGACAGTCCATTAGAAAAAGAAGAGATGGATAAGGAAGATGTGGTCCATATACACTATGGAGTATTATGCCTCCATCAGAAAGGATGAATACCCAACTTTTGTATCAACATGGACGGGACTGGAAGAGATTATGCTGAGTGAAATAAGTCAAACAGAGAGAGTCAATTATCATATGATTTCATTTATTTGTGGAGCATAACAAATAGCATGGAGGACATGGGGAGTTAGGAGAAGGGAGTTGGGGGAAATTGGAAGGGGAGGTGAACAATGAGAGACTATGGACTCTGAAAAACAATCTGAAGGGTTTGAAGAGGTGGGGGGGGTGGGAGGTTGGGGGAACCAGGTGGTGGGTATTAGAGAGGGCACAGATTGTATGGAGCACTGGGTGTGGTACAAAAACAATGAATACTGTTATGCTGAAAATAAATTTTAAAAAATGATAAAAAATAAAGAAAGAAAGAAAGAAAGAAAAGAAAAAGAAGAGGTGGCTAGTTTTTTAACACAACTCAAGCAATTACACAGTGCGTGTCCCCAGGATAAATGCTCTTCTGTCACTTTGCAACAGAAATGCTAATTTGTCACACTGCAGATTAAAAAGATTCCTGCTTGAGATTCATGAGTTAGTAAAGCTAATGATTTTTCTTGCTTTATCAAGGCTATCTTTAAGTGAAGCTGGACTTTCTGAGGATTCTTCACTGCAAGTAAGTGGCAGCCGAAGATACCATGACTACTTATACAGTTTGGTGTTACTGCCTGGTTTGCGCTAAGGCACCAAAAGTTTTACCCACTGTAGATTTTGCATCACCAGTACAAAACAGTGAAAAAAGAAAATAAAACATTATTATTATTTTAAAATTTGTTTTGACCTTGCAGATCCCCCAAAAGTGTCTCAAGGACCTCTAAGAGTCCACAGACTTGAGAACACTACACTCGAGGGACACCAACATAAGGAATAGCAGTCAGCATTATACATGTTATTACTCACAGAACTAGGACTGAAAAGGGAGCAAGTATCCTTTGTAATGGTATGGGACCCATTAATATAGATATAGGACAACTATAAAACGGGAAAATGATGAGGAGAACAAAGCAAAAGAAATATTAACTGTTTTCAGTAATCATTTTGGTGGTTGTAGTACGAGTATCATTATCCTCAGACCGCTGTGTGTTCATTCGGTAAAAGCAAATGAGTTTGGTGGATATTCTCATTGTACATATCCCTGTGTCTTTGAAAACCAGAATTATTGGTGTGGAAGAAAGGAGACACAAGTGTAATAGAAAAGCGATTAATTTTTTATTTATAGATACATAAATCTTATACTTCTATAAATATGAATATTGCACATAAACATTTTTGTTTCCACCAGGAAGACCTGATATAATGACGAACTCCTAGCTCCACATCATGGTCTCAGTGACATTTCCCACTAAAATAAGCCAGGGCTTTGTAAAACAATCGCTGATTGCAGGTCTGGGCAGGAGACATACAGAACATCTTGTTATATAACAGATAACAAAGAAACTATCAAAAGACTTGTGTCAAAAGGACTTGGGAGTCACATGAAGTTTCCATGCACCTAAGGTGATAAGAATGAACTTGTGGCTAAAAACTGCCATTAGCTAAAATCCGTCAAATACATTCAAATCCTCGAGCTTATAATGATATAAAAAAAAGAAAAATAAAAAGTAAAACCTAACAGCTCATCTTTGGATAATAGTAGGAACCAAATTCATCAGCTGGAAAACTAATAAAGGGAAAGAGTTAAACACTTTTCCTTTCTTTCCACTGTACCACTGGGCAACCCACTAATATATGAAGGGAGGTGTCTCTTTACAGAAGCAATGAAGCATTTCAATGAAGAAGGAATGACAAAATGAGGATATCCCCATTCTGCAGCCCCCAGTGAATGAAAGGGCCTAGGCAATGAGCACCACCAGTGACAGCACCATAAAGAGACACAACTGGACGGTCTGTGCCTCAGGGTGAGGAAGCACACTGCCACCTACAGACTTGCCAAGGAAATTAAACCAAAGTCTATCCAGCCTCTACTTCCAGATGCCAACTTGCAGAAAATGCAGAGGACAGAAGGACAAGCTAAACTGCACCAGGTGCGTGCAGTTGGTAAAATCCAGATTGTGGGAAACTCTGCAGGTCAAATGCCTCGGGCTTTTCAAAATATTAGCCATAAGGGAGGGAAAGGCATGCAGAAGAAACCAGTAAAGTATGAGACATACAAGGCAACTAAACTCTGTTGTCATGAATTCAGACTTGAGTGACTAGGGAATAAAAAAATACAACCAAAGTGGTTACTCTGACATTCAGAAAGGGATTACTTTTGAGAGGACATCGGGGGTTTCGGTGGGTCTGAGGTACATGGAAAACCCTGCATGGCTGGTAAAGTTCTATTTCTTGAGCTGAGTGGTGACTGCAGGGGTTTTGCCTTAAATAATTCATTAAAGTCTACATTTTGTGTGGTTATTGGTATCTCTGTTTTTATTTTACAGTAAAAAAGGTCATAAAAAAAAACAGTGAAAGAGGAACAGTGCCTCTGCATGTTTGTCTTCTGGAGACAGTGGAGAGCGCAGTTGGAAAGAGGATGATGTTAGGGTAACTCGTAGGGCTCATTTAGTCCTGGGCTCTAGCTCCTCGGTACTACTTCAGGCTCCAGGGCAAGAAGGTTTGGTTGGGACCTCTTAGCAGGGTTGTGGTGATGAAACTGCACTTGAGACCTGCAGGGATGGTGATCAAGGTCTCAGGAGGAACCCCCATCCCATTATGGAGGCTCGGCACCCAAGGCCACCCAGCCAGAGCCAGCCTCACATCCTATCCCCAAGACATCTCCATCTGGCCAAAGCATTGGGAGAACTACCGGCCACCCAACGACAAGGACGAAGACTTTACCTCATCACCAGACAACCGAGTCTCCACATATCCTGGAACGAGACAGAAGAAACAGAATGCCCCTCATTAGGACCAAATGTGATTATCCTGAAGGGTAGGGGCTGATCTGAAATATCAGAACCCCATCTCTGCTGACCTCTCCTGAAATATTTCTGGCTTCAGAAAGGACTATTCCTGAATAGCTTTCCTGGGCAGCTTTCCCTGCCTCACATCTTGGAAGTTAGGGGAAGTGGGAAAAGCCATGGGGCAGGTGGCGAGAGACTCCTGAAAAGCTCATTTACCTTTCTGAGCCCTGAAGCAGATGACAGTCCCCACCAAAACGAAGATCAGCCCAACCAGGAAGGCTGCAATTCCACTTAGCATCTTTCTCCAAGAATACGCCGACTGAGCTCCTATGGAAAACAGGTCTTAAAATTAGTAAAAAGCTCCCAATATTTGGTGCACCTTCCTGGAATCCCAGAGCCTGTACCAGACACCAGATCAAATGCTATTGAGAAAAGAAATACATTTAGAAAAGATTCTTTGATGCCAAGGTTTGCATCCATGGAATCTGTAACTGATTCCTACAGCCCACAAGAATGCCTGCTAACTTCCTAAGACAAAGTATGAGAGGACACTAGTTCCCACAGTTGGAAATAAGTGATGAAGTGATTAGACCTCCTCATTTCTTAGAAGATACAAGCAGAGGTATCTGCCATGTCTACTCCCACCCTAACCCAAGGACCCCAATTTCCATGGCTCCCTCAGATCAGGGGAAAAAAGAATGAGTGTTGGGACCAAGATGAACACGGAGGTCATAGAGGCCCTGTGCTGAGGCAGCATCACCCTGAGTCAGACCCAGAGAGTATAAGAAGCAGATTCTCACTCCACTCCACCGAAACAGGGCTCAGCAGGCTGGCATGATTAACAAGGCAGGTGTAGACATCTCCAAGTGCAGGAGTCATTTCCAGCATCACCACTGTCTGGAAGGTCCAGTCTCCATTCCTGACCAGGCCAGTGGATATGACACCAACCCTCTCCTCCTGCCCATTCCGGAACCACCTGATCTTGATGTCGCCTGGATAGAAACCGGTCACGGAGCAGAGAAGCACACTGCGATGCTGCAGGGATGGGGTCCTCTCTGGATGCACTGTCACCTCTGGTTGTACTGGAAGGGGAGAAAAAATGATACATTGTGGAGGAAAACCACCAAGCCAGGACAGGTTGCTCGAGAGACTGTCTCCGCACTGTCTCACAGACTGAGAGACTGTCACCCCACCCAAGTGGAAACTGGAAATGGGAAGAAATTTTTGCCCCCAAGACTCAGAAACTGGGTATGTCAATGCCCCAAAGAGGAGTTAGACCTTATCAGAGACTCCCACAATTACCCCTTCTACTTGAGAGCCCATTGTGACTTAACGCCCTTGAGAACTTTAGAGGTCTGGGACCAAGACCACAGTGACCTGACCTGTGAGGAAAATGAGTGGATCACAAATGGGGACAGAAAAGACTCCCCTGCTCATTAGACATTTATCCTGAAGCAGGAAATTGCCTATCATAAGGAAGTAAAGCCCATGGTCAGGCTCACACGTGGGAGATGCCTGAACCCCACCAGACCTCACCTTCCAGCTCACCTTTCCTCCCCACAGTGAAGGGTGCACCCAGATTGTAGTTGTGCCTGCAGAGGGCATCCACAGAAGCTCTACTCCTCTCCAGTATATCTGGCCGATCGTTCCACAGCTCAGCGTCAGGCTTCCCCAGCTCTGTCAATGCCACAAACTTTCCCACGTGGCTGTCGAAACGTGCATACTCTTCCAAGTTAAAAATGAATCTCACCACAAACTGCACCTTCTCTGTCCCATTGATGAAGTAACAGTCAGCCTTTGCCTGAATCACAAAATCTTCTAGAAAACAATGACAACAAAAAGACTTTAAACCAACCCCTACTTTTAGGAAACCATACATGGTAAATAATGCCAGACCCCATGGATTTGAGAGGAGGCCTTTTGAACTCAGTAAACAGGTCAAAGTAGCCTCTTTTCCCCTGGACCCCACCCTGGTTCCATTTAGCATCCTGGTTCCCACCATTGTGGGAAGAAGCCTGAGGCTTCTTTGGCCAGCCAAACAGAAGACATGTAACCCAAAAAAGACAAGCCAAAGAGAGAGTCCCAAGAGACATAAACATTCATGCCGCAAATAGTTTTTGACCCTTTGTGTTTTGCTGACACTGTGCTGGTTTTTCCAAGCCAAGTTTTCAGAATCCCAAGGTTTTAACTCCCTTTGTTATCAAGTTGAAAACATCCATCCCCAAATAAAATAATTCAATAGTACTCTTGTCCTTAGCAGGTTCATTCTACACATTCTTTCTGGGGTGAGGTGAAGGAGTGATGGAGGTGGGCGGGCAACAAAGAAATGCAGACTCGTTAGGCATTTTAAAGTGAAACTAACTCTCCTACTTTTCAGTCACTATGGGTTTTATCCAAGAATTTTCTTTTGGACTTTTCCCCTTGCACTCTTACTTAGAGACCTCACCCCTCCGTTGGCTCAAATAAGGTAATGATTTCATTAACTTTGTTGGTGTAAAGTAGAATAATACTAATCAATGGCTCAAAGAGTAATATTACTATCAGCATCATTGGCACTATACCCACCATTCCAGTAGCTACAACAACATGTTGATAGGGAATATACAGTTAGCTTAAACCTTCTTTGGTGGCGGGGGGTGGGGGAGGATTACATGAAGCAGTACCATTAAAGGTGGAATAAAAAAAAAAACTTAATTCCATTGTCTGTTATAATTTTCTACTTTCAGAGCACCTTACTAATGTTGATGGTGATTGGTTTGAGTTATGTATTTTTTCATACAAAGCCTACTCTGCTCATATTCTTCAATGTAATTTGACACTCAAAAATTATGTAATCTGTCCTCATTGGTGAGAAAAATTATAATTCTTACTGAGCACACAGTGTGCTCTGGTCTGAGTGTTTGTGCCCCACCCCCCCAAATTCATGTGTTGAAATCCTAACCCCCAAAGGTGATGTTATCAGTAGGAGATGATTTTGAGAGGTGTTTGGGTCATGAGGGTGGAGCTCTCACTCGTGAGTGGGATTAGCCCTTATAAAGGAGGCTCCAGAGAGATCCCAAGCCCCTTCCACCACATGAGGACACAAGGAGAAGGTGCCACCTATGAACCAGGAAGAGAGTCTCCACCGGAACACAGCCATGCTGACCCCTTGATCTTGGGCTTCCCAGACTCCAGAACTGTGAGAAATAAATTTTTGTTGTTTATAAGCCACCCAGTCTGTGGTATTTTGTAACAGCAGCCAGAATGGACTAAGACACAATTATACCTGTCATAGACTTGAAGATCTGAAAAATTTAAAGCGACAAATTGGCAAATGGCCCCAGATTATGTTTCAGTAGTTGTACCTAGAACCACTTACCCTCCCTGACCTGTTTTCCATTGAAAACAACACTGAAGCAGAGCTCAAAAGCATAGTGTTACGAGACAAAGGAAGCAGAATGTGATTCAGTGCACAACGACTTTTTAAAAAATTTTAAAATACACATGAAAAACAACGCTAAATATCCCTAAAGGCCAGCCTCACACCCCAGACGCATTCGAACGGATCTGCAAGGAAAGGAGGGTGTGGAAATGTAGACCAGGAGAGAGGAGAGAGTCCTTACACTGACAAATGATCGCCGAGTGCTATGAACTCATGGGGTAAGACTGACACAATTCTCTGTATGCACTCAAGAACAACAAAAAGGAAATTCAAATGGGTTCATAAGGCAGGTTGGTAGGAAAAGATCTAACCTGCAGAAACAGCATGAGTTAAGGCTTAAAGGACAATCATTGCCAATCCTGAGCTGTAAATTTGCTTTCATCTCAAACTCAGAGGCCTTCTCCAGGAACTACTGAGCTGAGCATTAGGAACGGCAGCTCATTCCTGGATCAGCTCTTAGCAACTAAAGTCAGCGCTAACCTCCAGGGCTCTTCCTTCCTACAGTTTAAATCAGAAAAAGAAAGTTATTTGGGGGTCAGATTTGTGTCAGATTTAAGATCTGAACTGACTTTTTTTTTTTTTTTTTCGTTTGTGTTGTTTAATGGACATGTTGTTTAAGCTCAGAGAGGTTTCTATTTTGGGAGATAACGATCCTCTCCTATCCACCCCACCCTCCCAGGTTTGTTCCTCTTTTGTGTTTAATGAAACTTTGACGTTCAAACAGGTTCTGTTTTTAGTGCATTATATCCTGTTTTCTGCAAAAAGTATGTGTTCAGGGTGTAACACTGCCTCCTGTTCACACAGCCCATCTCCTTGGCTAGAAAAATAATGGTAATAAATACCCAGGAACCTGAGGACAGGCATAATGCATTCAACTTCTCTTATTTCTCAAAACTGGGGTTAATAAATGCCAAGAGAGGAAACTTTTGTTTCCAATTTCTTTTGTCCACATATATTCCAGTTGGATAAATATAAAAATAGTTGCAATCATCAGAGCAAACTCCTGTCTGGAAAAAATGACAGCTATTCTCAGGCTGGCCCCAGTCAATACAGTTCTTCAGACTTACACTGATACAATAAGGACTCTAAGCAAGACAAAATGTTTCCCTTCATTCTAGCACCCTTCTCCTTGAAGCTGCGGCACAGGAAGTCCCTTTTCCTAGCAGTCCATTGTGTATGGTAAAGAGAGGAGGCATATTTTAATTTCAAAGGGAAGAATACTTTGAAGCCAGAAGCCAGAAGCCAGAAGCCAGTTCCAGTCTGCAGCCTGGACCTACAGGGAAAAACATCCCTCCCCCATGCCCATTCTTGCATACACACCTGAAGAAAATTGCTCTGTTCTTACCTGGAGAGTCTCTGCGTTGAATCCTGGAGGAATCCAGTCTAATTACACTCACTAGCAGAAGCACCATCCATGGAACCCTCCCAGAACCCATTCTGGAAAGAAAAATAAAAAATTAGACAGTGAAATCATCAACTGCTTCAGGATGGGGCTTACCCCCACAAAACGCAGTCAAAAAATATTTATGAAGAGTATGAATACCTTTCTGGTTTCCTCAGGATTGGAAACTCTTCACACTGATAACCAATCATGATAGAAGAGTTTTGCATCATTAGATGCTGGGTAGACTACTTTCATAAAGTCGTGTATATCACTCAAGAATTGTTTACCTGCAGAATCACTGATGGTGATCTAATATATGTGGAAAATGGGCTGTGAGAAAAATTGTTTAAAAATAGTGTACATAGTATGTGGTCCTAGAAGAACTACATATATTGTTTATCATGCATTTTGCTATCTTTTAACCAACAAGTCTCTTCTCCTATGGCTGACATTGCCAACAGCATGTGCAAATAAAGTGGAAAGTAGACAGCATTCTGAAGAGTTTGCCTTAAGAGGAGTTCATGAAGGGATTATCAGAGAACAAATAGAAGAGATTGAGAACCACCTGAAGAGTATAAACCAAGAGAGGCCACAAAAAAGAAAATGAAGAGAAGATAAAAGAATAAAATGCTGCAAAAAATGTTCAAGAGAGAGCTCCTGGGCAGCTCAATCTGTTACGCATCTGACTTCAGCTCGGGTCATGGTCTCAGGGTTCTGGGGTTGAGCCCCATAATGGATTTCCCCCTCAGTGGGATTCTGCTTGCTTTTCTGTCCCTCTCCACCTCCCCTCAAAAAATAAATACAATCTTTTTTTAAAATGTTCAAGAGGATTAAATATAAGGATTATTGTGTTTTATAATTAGTGGAGCGCCAACAACCCTCCCTGGGACACAGTATTAGAAATGAGTATTAGAAATGAAGGCAGCAGATATAAACAGTCTTTCAAGAATGTTGGAAATGAAAATAAGGGAAAGATGGGACTCTTAACTTTAGCAAAAAGCCACACAAAAGATAAGTTACCTTTAAGAAAGTCCTTAATGATTACATAAATGATGGGTATTTATGGCGAGCACTTGTTGTGAAGAGCACTGGATGTTATATGTACATGAAAAATCACCAAATTCTACTCCTGAAACCAATATTATACTCTATGTTAACTAACCAGAATTTAAAAACTTGAAACGAAAAAAAAAAAAAAAAGGAAAGACTGTAACAAGTTTCTCAGTCAAGAGGAAGGCATCTGTATGTGGGAGAAGTTGAACATAAAAAGGAGAAGAAAAGTGAAATTACCCCCAAAATTCTTAGTGGAATCCAAAGAAAGAGATTGTCAGACTTGGTTATAAAAAGGAACACTTGTTCAGACACTAAGATGAAGACAGGGAGATTTGAGGTGAGAAAGAGGGGAATGAGGAAGTTCTAGTCATATGGTTCAGCGGACTCCATTTAAGACAAGGCAAAAATCTGCTAGAAAAGTGTTGGAAGAAAATCTGATTGACAGCTATAGAGAGAAGGCTGCTTTTTAACCAAAATAGTCAATAAGTACAATTATTATTCGTTTAACACAAAGCCATCCATGCCCAATATTATGGATCATGCAGGGATGATACAGATATGTTCCTTGTTCTCAAGAAATACATAACCTAAGCAGAGTGACAAGGAAACAATCCACTCCAATGTCAGGAAGAATGAGATTAATTTGCTAATGTTTGGGTACACGAGAAGAGTAAATTTCAACTTAATCTAGAAGGAGTTCATGATAAAGTTGATACTTGATACAAGTGACATAACAAGCAGAGATTTTTATAATTTGGAACACCCAGTACATGCAGACAACTGAAAGGAGATAAACAGTGAAATAAAATGTTTATCTGGAATCACTGTCAAATTCCTTATTATCTGCAATAAATACATGCCTACTACTTTACTGAATGGGAAAAGATACAATATAATTTTTTTTTTAATTCTTCACTTCCCAGAGAGAACACACATGCTTTGGTGCTTATGTAAGGTAGGATTATGATGGTAGTTGACCAGAATATCCAGAAATACTTGACTTAATGCTTTGTCAAATATGCTTGGGAGGCCCGCAGGAAATCTCTACCCATAAGTAGTAATGCCAAATTGTAAATCAAAAACTAACTCCATTATTAGCTGGTCAAATCTCTGATACCCTAGGAGAACATTTTATGATACTTTTTTTTTATGATACTTTTCTGTGAAGCATGTTCCCTCTTAAATCACACTGATACCACTAGCCAACAAGAAAGGATTAAGAACTCCCAAACATAAGAGTAATAGCGTGGGTCACAAAGGGATTCTGTTCAAAACGGCAGAAACAGGATTCAGAAAAGAGCTGAAATGCAACTATATAACCTTTAATTAACATGGCCCTGGAACTCTTAGTAAACACACCCTGCCCTGGAATCTGACCAATCAAAATAATAATTCTTTCTCCTGGGAGATCACAACAGATAAAGAAAAAGATGGGGAGGTATGGAAGACATCACTCGTGTTCACCAACATCCTCTACTTCCTGGGCACATGGAAAATTGTACTTCCTGGTTTCCCCATACTATGTGAACAAAAAGGTTCTTGGTCAAAGAATTTAACTACCATTGCATGACTCTTCTCTTCTTCCCTTATCAAGTGAACCAAGACAGCCTTGTGTTGAAGTGGTGGAATCAGAATATAAAAGCAGTCTTATCAGCAGAGCCATCATGATGAGGAGAAGCCCTAGAGAGTCCCCCAAACCCACAACAGGTGCTGTATGAATGAGAGGGAAGTTTTGTTTGATTAAGGCTCCGAGGGTTGTTACCAGAGCCTGCCCTAACTTAATCTAATATAAGACAAGAACAAGAATGTTGACATGCCCCTTGCACATCCCTTAAGTAGATTTGAATATTCATGAATTAGAAGCCTGAGCACAGGACAAAACTGGTAGACTCTGTCCACAGAGCATCTGACCCATGACTGTGGTACTTCTTCTAGAGGCATACGGTTGTGTTACTCCCACTTGGGAGGGCACACATGGAGCTGAGTGAAAATGTGGTAATCAGAAGGAGCTCATGCCACTGAGTTTTAACTTTCTCCCTTCTTCCCACCCACACCTACCTTAGTCTTTCCCATGTATTTGATCTCATTTAGAAGTGGAGAAAAGCATCCTACTTGAAGCTAAGTGAATGAGAACCTGACATGGAGATTATCAGAAGAAGCAAAAGCAGGAGAGGGTAATAGAGGCTTAAGCCCAAGTCTGGTTAGCTCCTCTGCAGGCAATACTGTAGCTGGGCTTCAGCCCGTTCTCTCAAGGATGAGAGAGAGATCTTGAGGAGAGAAGAAAGAGTGAGGCTGATACAGATAAAAGGCATGATTGTTTTGGAGTTAAGAGGAAGAGAAAGAGTTGATAGATGGCAAGAGGTATTGAGGGGAGACTGGAGGATGTGGATTCTGAACCAGGAAGTTAGGAGGACCACTCTTTCCTAATTCTGGTGTGAATGTGTTTAAGGCTCATAATGCTAAAATCTGGCTTGCCTACATCATCATCGTCATAGCTAATATTTGCTGATTAAACTTTATGAGTCAGTTTTTAAGCACTGTGAATGTCTGTGTCTGTGCACAGTGGTGGGGGATGAGGGGAGAGAGAAAGAGAGGAAAAGAAAAGAGAGAGAATCATACTAATAACCCTTGCAGAGATATTATTATGACCTCCCTCTTATAGCTGAAGTAGTGAAAGAACAAAGCAAGGGTCACATAACTAGTAAGTCCATCAGCAGTGCTTTTTCCATTGCATGGTATTTCTTACTTGGAGGCCCAGGAAAGCTTTATTTCTACTGCTTCAGTATCCTTGAGATTATAAGATGCACAAAGGAGCAAAATAACTGAAGGATTTTATTAAAACTACTTGGAGCCAGAATAGACCCCCAACATATCCTACCTCACATAAGGAAATCAGTGGTCTCATATATCGCAAGCAGGGAGTGGCATAGAATCCATCTATGGGCACTAAGAAGAGAAAGCAGTACTAACCCATGAATCTCCCTTGTCAACGGCCTCTGATACAAGCATCAGTTCATCCAGTTAGAAACTTTGTTGAATCAGATCAGGGGAGAAGCTAATAAAGGGAGAGGTGGTGGCCTGGCTCCTTTCTCCCATGTTTTTGTTTTTGTGTTCTACTTCTATGAGCTTGAAAAACAAAGTGGGGCATTCTGAAGTCTCTCTTCCTGTCTGATTTCAGCCAAGAGCCTTACCTAATATAGATACAGGCTCTTCTGTGACTTACCGCTCAAATCTGTATCTTGCATCCCTCTTCCTCATTCCCTCCTTCTTCTATTCTCTAAGGAGTGAGAGAAGGTAGGTATGATAGATGTGACCGTTTCCCTTTTTTTATTTTATTTTTTTTAAGATTTTATTTATTTATTTGACAAAGATCACAAGTAGGCAGAGAGGCAGGCAGAGAGAGGGGGAAGCAGGCTCCCTGCTGAGCAGAGAGCCCGATGTGAGGCTTGATCCCAGGACCCTGGGATCATGACCAGAGCCAAAGGCAGAGGCTTTAACCCACTGAGCCACCCAGGTGCCCCTGCATCAGTATTAATAAGTAAATTCATCTAAAGTTTTTATTTTCATGTCATAGTTTAACATTGATACTATATTCACTTCACTAAAAGAACACATTTGCTGCTGCTAAACCATTTAATTAGGATTAGAATTCTCTTTTTTTCTTTTTCTTTAAAGACTTTATTACACTGCCCTGAATATCTCAACCTGGAGCTTTTATTGGGGTAACTGTTTTACAATATTTCCTGTTTCTTCATTGGAAATTATTCTATCCAAATATTCTACCTCTAAAGGCATTGCTTTTGGTATATTTTTCAAGAGAATTATTCATTCAATCCAAATTTTCAAGTTTCTTTTTATAAAATTGAACAAACCAATTTCTTAAGATTTTCCTGTTCCTGTATTAATTTTGTCTTTTCATTTCTTATTTTCTCTACTTTTTTCTTGATTCAGTTTGTCAGTGGCTTATTTATTTTATTGAAATTTTTAAATTTTGAATTTATTCTATTTTTCTATCTTCTAACTCTTCAGTTTCTGCATTTATTTTTATTTTTATTTTTTTGCATTTATTTCTAGTATCTGCTCCTGTTTTCACGTGACTGGTTGTGCTGTTCTTTTCACTTAATTAGCTTGGTTTTGTTCTTTCCTTTAATTGATTCAAGCAGTGAGGGCCATGAATTCTCTGCTGAGTACTGCCTGAACTATATCCCAAGACTTTTGATATGTGACTTTTAATTATCAGTTTTCTAGAAATTGTTTGCATTTGTTTTTCTCTCTGATAAAGAAAGAGACAGTTTCTTTAAGTTTCTATGTGGAATCTTTTCTGATTTTTTTTATTATGATCCAGCTTGTTCCATTATGGTCAGAGAATACTATCCATATCATTTCTACTTTTAGGAACTTACTGAGGCTTTTTGTAACATAATATGTAGCCCATTTTCATTAATGTTTTGCTAGAGTGTGAAAAGATGTGTTCTCTAATTTTAATGAAGAAAATTTAATATAGATACATCAGATCTAATTTTATACTGTTGGACTATCTTCTGTGATTATACTTATTTTTGTCCACTGAGAAAAGTAAATTAAAGTCATCTAATACTAGTACATTTCTGAATATTTTCCTTGTGTCTCCCTTAATTTCAGCTTTATGAGAGTTGTTTATGTGATATCTAGAACTTAAATGCACATCTTATGTATCCATTATGAATTTTACACTTTACATTATAAAGTGCCTTCTTGCCTCACTCAATTTTTTTTCCATTTGAATTTCACCTTTTTATTAATAGTATTGTGACCTCTGCTTCCTTTTTGTTTGCTGTGCCTTTGCCATCATTTTATTTTTTGAATAAATGAATGGGCCTGAGTCACTCTATTTTAGGTGTGTTTTTTGCATATTACAAACAGCAGTTTTTCTTTCAATCTAATCTAAAACTATTTATTTTATATATCAGTTAAGCTCACTTAAAATTTATATAGCAAATAGATTCAGTGTAATTTGTGATTTGTAGGTGAAATTATTTTCTGTTAAATATGCTGCTTATATGAGTAATTCTTTTAGAAAATCTTTGTGTCTCGTGTTTTCTAAATTGCAGTTTTTCAGATATTTTAAAAGGTGTATATTTGAGGATTGTCCTGATAATTTTATTCTTATATAATACAATTAGCTCCCTCTTTCTTTAGTTTCTACTAGTTATGAACATCATAAAAGTGCTAACCTACATCCTCTCCTCTCCTCTTCCATTTTCCTTGTACTTACCTTTGTACTCTTAATATGTTATAAATATGAATACTTGGTTTATCCATTTTGTGAGATAGCTTTAGACTCCCAGATATTATAGACAAGGCCATCAATAAGCTTATTCTATATCCTTACTCTCTACTCAACCTACAATTAATTGAGAAAAATGTTTCTGTTTGTCAATTTCTTCTTCTAATTCTACCTATATTTTCCTACATATTTTGTGGTATTTTTTGCTAGGTGTAGACCGAGTCTGTTTTAGTACAATGTTCTTCTTGTTACCATTAATCAATGGTCGTCTTTGTTTCTACTAATGCCTCTGGCCTTCAACTATATTTTTAGGTATCAAAGTAACTACTAACATTGTCTTCTGTTAGTGTCAGTTTTGTATATCCTATTGCACGTCTTGATTTTAACCTTTTCATGTTTTTAGGTTTTCTTTGTGACTAATGTGAAGAGCATGTAACTGGATTTTGTGAGTGCCTTACCCACGGCTTCATTTTCTGCAGTTTCAGTGACACATGGTCAACTGCCGCCCACAAGCCAATGATCCTCCTTCTGACAACAGGTCAGAAGGTCAATGGTAGTCTAATGCTAGGTCACAATGCCTACATCACTTGCCTCACCTCATCTCATCATACACTCATTTTATCATCTCACATCATCCTAAGAAGGGTGACATAGTACAATAAGTATTTTGAGAGAGAACAATACATGACTTTCATTACAGTATATTGTTATATTTGTTCTATTTTATTATCAGTTACTGTTCTTAGTCTCTTTCTGTGTCTAATTTATAAATTAAACCTTATTATAGGTATATACATATAGAGAAAAGCAAAGTATACCTGGAATTCAATTATTATCTGTGGTTTCAGGCATCCACTGGGGGAATCTTGAAACATATCCCCCACAGATACGGGCGGCACAGCTGTATCGTTAATGCAACCTGAAAACCTCTTTTAACTTCAAACTTAAGCTATTTACATTTATTGGGATTACAAAATTATCTGAATTAGTTTCTACTATTATTGTGTTTTCTATTTTGTTACATTGTTTCTTCGCTTCACTTTTTTCTTCTTTCATCGCTTATAGTAAATTGAGTACTTTTTTTTAATTTAATTTTTTTATTTTATTTTTTTTTAAGGATTTTATTTATTTATTTGACAGAAAGAGATCACAAGTAGGCAGAGAGGCCGGCAGAGAGAGAGGAGGAAGCAGGCTCCCCGCTGAGCAGAGAGCACGATGCGGGGCTCGATCCCAGGACCCTGGGATCATGACCTGAGCCGAAGGCAGAGGCTTTAACCCACTGAGCCACCCAGGCGCCCCAATTTAATTTTTTTATTAACATATAATGTATTATTAGCCCCAGAGGTACAGGTCTGTGAATCGCCAGGTTTACACACTTCACAGCACTCACCATAGCACATACCCTCCCCAATATCCATAACCCCACCACCCTCTCCCTAGCCCCCACCCCCTGGCAACCCTCAGTTTGTTTTGTGAGATTAAGAGTCTCTTATGGTTTGTCAATTGAGTACATTTTTGAAAAGATTTATTTATTTATTTATTGGACACAGAGAGAGGTCACAAGTAGGCAGAGAGGCAGGCAGAGAGAGAGGGGAAGCAGGCTCCCTGCTGAGCAGAGCTGGCCTTGATCCTAGGACTCTGAGATCATGACCTGAGTTGAAGGCAGAGGCTTAACCCACTGAGCCACCCAGGCACCCAAATTGAGTACATTTTAAATGTATTCTCTAACTTCCTCTTATTGACTTAAGAATTTTAAATTCTAGTTAAGAGTTACCCCTATACTTTTTAATTTTTTTAATTTAAATTCAATTTAATTAACATATCCTACCTTATTAGTTTCAGAGGTAGAATTTAGTAATTCATCAATTGCATATAACACCCAACACTCATCACATCAAGTGGCCTTCTTAATGCCCATCTCCCAATTACCCCATCCCCCCCACCCACGTCCCTCCAGCAACCTTCAGTTTATTTCCTATAATTAAGAGTCTCTTATGATTTGCTTCCCTCTCTGTTTTCATCTTATTTTCCTTCCCCTCCCCTGTGGTCATCTGTTTTATTTCTTAAATTTCACATGAGTAAAATCTTATGGTATTTTTCTTTCTCTTATTGACTGATTTTGCTCAGCATAATACCCTCTAATTCCAACCACGTCATTGCAAATGGCAAGAATTCATTCTTTTTGATGGCTGAGGAATATTCCATTGTCTATATATACCACATCTTCTTTATCCATTCATCTGTCAATGGACATGTGGGCTTTTTCCATAGGTTGGCTATTGTGGACATTGCTGCTATAAACACTGGGGTGCAGGTGTCCCTTCGGATCACTATATTTCTATCTTTGGGGGTAAATATCTAGTAGTGCAATTGCTGGGTCATAGGGTAACTCTATTTTTACCCCTACATTTTTAACATAGTTTTAAACTGGCAACATCTGAAGTTAAACTCTACCCCCCTTCCAAATAAAACAAAGGCTTTTGAATGTTTTACTTTATCTGCCTCATTCTCATGTTGTGATTGTTCTATCGTGTTCTTAAATTTCATAGTCATATCTGTTCGTGATTTTTATAGTTATTCTTCATTCCTCATTCTGATTTACCAATATTATAGACAGATATTTTGTTGTTATTGTTGTGTGTGTGTGTGTCATTTTTGTTTCCTGTATCCCAATTTTTCTTGCTCAATTTAATATGCTTATGTAAGTGGTAATAAAAGAAAAACAAATGACAACTACCATATGATGTCACTTTTTATTCATAAAATTGATAAAGCCTAAAAAGCTAATTTAACAGCACTCCATGTTGATGAGAATGTGGGGAAACAGATAAATTTATATATTACTGATGGAACTGTGCATGAATACAACCTTTATGAGGGCAATTCTGCAACATATATCAATATCAGTAATATATATACATACACATGGACTCAGCAACTCCCCGTTTAGAATTTTATCCTATGGGTATTCTTGCACACATGTATTATAATGTCTACACAAGGCATTGCTTATACTAGCTAGAGACTTCAAGTAACCTAGCTACCCATCACTAGGAGAAGACAAGCTAAATGAAATACAGTACTTCCATAAAATAGAATGCTATATAGTCGTATATTTCTAAGTATAAAAAAAAATAAAGTTCAAAACAGTGCATCTAAGGACCTATTTGTAAAAATAGGGAACAAGAACATATTTACAAATGTGCTTAAATATACATGAAATTTCCCTAGAAGGATAAATATAAAGCTTGGAACATGGACTGTGTGCGCAAGGGGTCTTGGTAAACCATGGGAAGGATGGGAGTGAGGGTTTCCTCTACATACCTTGTTGGGGCTCTTCAATTTTAAACCCCATTAATATATTTCCTGGTTCACATAAATATATTTTTAAAAAGAGACTAGTAGGAAGGTAAGCAGATAGAAGGAGTATAGGCAACTCTTTTGAGTTTTGTAGTAAAGCTGGGCAGAGTCCGCCTTTTCCAAGCTTTGTGAGCCAGACAATGTGCCTAAACGTCCACTTTCTCATTCTTAGAACTGATATAGTAACATCTGCACCTAGGATTATCTTGAGGAAAAAGTACAAAGATATACATGAGGCACTTAGCACAGCACTTGAATGATTATTGTTATTGTAATGGCAATTACATGAACTGTAATAATTCATAAGTCCATAAAACTCTAGGTTCAAAACCCAGTATTTCCTACGATTACTAAATGGGCATCAGATTCAATCAGATGGGTGCTTTTTTGGCTCACTCAGCACCAAAAACCAGGAAGATCTTTGTTTTCCTTACTCCTATTCTTTTCTCCAAAATTCTGACAACTGCACTCAGTCTCCTCTTGAATGCCATGAGAACGGCAAAGGGGCTACCCTACGTGGCTGGGGAATAAAGGACTTGAAATTCAATGCCATTTCCACACTGGGCAAACCAGATGGGTTGTCTGCGGGCTCCAGAGAAATCTATGAGAGTTTCCTAAGGTTTCCCCTCTCCATTCATACCATCCTTTGGAAAGAGTAAAATATGACCGAATGGGAAAGATGCCGAAGTAAGTGACAAGAAGGGGAGGTTATGAGGCAGGCAAATCAAACGGTGTTGGGGGGGAGGCGGGGTGAATGAAAAGAACTAGAACTCAGGAACAGACTAGAATTACTCATATCTGTGATTACCAAACAAACCACACTTGTAGGCTTTTGCCAAAGTTCCACACTTTGACCTCCAGGGAACATTTCCAGAATGTGTCCCTGACATAAGGTCTACTTGCGAGTTTCCCTCAGATGACCAACTTTCCAGACACCCTAAGATCCTGAGGTCTGCTGCATCTTTCTGATGCCCGTCTGAATGCCTGAGTTTTCTTCCCAGCTCAATCACTGAGTAGCCCTGCAGTTTCAGGCCAGTTTCCTTTTCTATAAAGTAAGATTTGACTGCTTTATTATTTTTAAGAAACCTTGCAGGCTTAAACTATTAGGTGTCATTATATTGAGGCTCTCGTCATTAGACTGAGGCTATCAAAGAATTTTAACAGATCATCTTCCTCCTTGAGGGCAACAATTTCCCTAAGGTTGGGACATACAGGAATGATTATTCCCATTTTATAAATAGAGGAAGGACGTTTGGTTAAGAGGGAAAGAAATTGGGCCAAAATTGTCTCTCTCCACATGGGTATTTAAGTACAGTGGTATTTGAGACACTAACACCAGAATGAAGCGAAGGCATACCTGCATAAGAAAGCTCCCTTCTCTCACTTTGCCCATTCCCAACAGTTACCAGGATGAAAAAAAGAAACCAAAACTGCAAAAGTTCTGGGTAGTTCATTGCTAGAGCTGGAAAGCACCTGGTGTTTCTGGGAACGTGAAAGTTTCTCTTTCCTAGAATAGGAACCTTCAAAGGTAAGTCCCTCCCAAAAGGCAGTAATGCACACAGCTCTGAATTTTCAGTGGTTGGCATGTGGAGGGAGGACAGAGAAGAATTACTCATTAGTGCAACAGACATTTGCTTATTGTCTGCTATGAATCGAGCCCTGTGCCAGGTAGTCAATATAAAACTTAGTAAAATATATGGCCTTCCCCCCCAGGAACTCATGGTCTAGTGGGAGAACAGAGGGGTGGGGGGATGAGGAGTTTACTACAGGCTGTGAAAGAGGTAAGCTCTGGGACAACAGAAGCACATGCAAAGGACACTTTCTCCAGACTGAGCTCAGAATGGAAAACCTGACCCGAGATAAGTCTTGAAGGACTGGGGTAAATCATAAAGGGTGGTTCAGGAAGCAGCAAGAACACACCATATGCAAAGGTGCACAGGCATGAGGAGGGCAGGAAGTTTGCGGTGGGAGCTTAATGCAGCAGGGAAGGGTGCTGCAAATGAGCTGCACAACCTCACATGCTGTGAGGAAGATCTGAGCAGAAAGGAAGGAAGAGCTTGAAGGACTTTACGGAAGTGACATCATCTTATGTGTCTGCAAAAGAAAAATGACTTCACAAAGAACAGCTAGAAGAGCTGAGCCAATGATGGGGAAACCTCTTTGGTGATGAGATCATCTAAGACTAAATGAAAGTTATAATAACCACGGGACTAGAGAGAAGGCAGTGAATTCAGAGCTCTTTACTGAATCTGAGTATGAATTCAAGATTATGAACACATGACGTCATATAATTTACTGGTTGAGGTTGTGGACTCAGGGGTCAGGCTTGGATTCAACTCCAACTCCACCCCTGTGTAACCTTGGAAAAGTTATTTAACCTCTTTGAGACTCAGTTTCCTCACCTGTAAGATGGGGATAATAATAACCAACCACATAGGCTTAAGGAAAAGGACTAAATATGATAATGCCTGAAAAACATTTAGCATACTTCCTATCATATTAAAACTCTATAAATGGTAGATATTACCAGTTTTTTATTAACATTGTTAATTAGGAAACAGTGTTCTACCCCTCCATATCCTAGCTTCCCCCAAAATATCAGATATCAGTGTGAAAGGGGAAAGACACAGAAAGGCAACCTCATGAATATTTACATCATACTGGCTAATATTTATCTCAAAAAACAGATTAAGACACAGGTAGCTAGCAAAACAGTAGCTATGGTCACCTCTGGGAGGTGAAACAAGGGTTAGTTTTACTTTCCTCTACGTATACGTGCTATTTACATAATAAGGAAAATGTACTTTAAATAGATGTATTATGCCACAATACTCAGCAGCAGGGAAATGAGGATCTTGGAAACAGACAGCACCCCCCTTTCTCCCACCCCCGGTCAGTACACGTGGCCCAAACTTCCACCATGCCAATAGCTCTAGGAACAACTACCCAGCAGCACAAGCCCAGAGAAACTCCCAGCACGAGCTACTCTGGATCATGGAGATGACCACTGGAAGGGTCCCGTGTCCCCGAGCTCTCAGTCCTCCAGGAGCTGCTGCACCAGGCGGGAATAGAGGTCCTGGCCCTCCATGAGCTCTGAGTGCTCCCGCAGCTCACCCTGCCTGAGCACCAGGACCTGGTCCGCACTCTGCACCGTCTGCAGCCTGTGAGCAATCACCAGCACTGTTCGGTCCCCGTGGGATTTCCAGTCCTGCAGCTGAAGGGGGAGGATCATAATGCCTCAGAAGGGTAAGAAGAGGGGCACCTGGGTGGCTCAGTGGGTTAAGGGTCTGTCTTAGGCTCAGGTTATAATCCCAGGGTCCTGGGACCAAGTCCTGTCAGGGGGCCTGCTTCCCCCTCTCCCTCTGCTGCTCACCCTGCTTGAGCTCTTTCACTTGCTCTCACTCTCTCTCTCAAATAAATAAAATCTTTAAAAAAAAATAATAAAGAAAAATAAGAACAGGTTGGGCACCATATCGCAACTGGGCAATATCTCTTGTGGCACAGGGTAGAGAAGACGTGAACGATGAGAAAGACGACAAAGTCTGCACTGCCCTTCTCTCTCAGCTGTCCCGCTGTAAAGGGAACTGGGGAAAAGGAGGGACTGTTCCCACACCCCATACTCTCCATTCCACTCCCCACTCCCTGCGAAAGCACAGATAGTCTTCCACTAGTGGGCCATTCGTCTTCCTCTGCCCAATTCTGCATACACTGGTCCTTCAATCATGAGCCTCAGGTCCCACTGCCTGCCGCCTCAGGACTCACAGCCTGCTCACACTGGACGTCCAGAGCACTGGTGGCTTCATCCAGGATGAGGACTCGTGGGTCCCGCACAAGGGCCCGGGCAATGGCCAGACGCTGCTTCTGTCCCGCAGCCAGCTGCTTCCCTTTCTCCCCTACATCTGAGGATTCCGAGAAATACCTTTTCTCAGACACAAGTGGCCACGACAGCGTCCTCCCCATGAGCAGGGACAAGCGCACAGCTGGTCTTTCCACCAGCACCCATGAGGGAGGCATGAAAGCCTATGTCAGGAGGGCAGGGGTGGACACCTGTTGAGGCTGCCCCAAGAGAGGGAGCACTACTACCCCGGGGGCTGTCTCCCAACCAGGACCCGCAACTAGAAAACTCCCGGTGCCGGTGCTGGGGAAGGCAGGAAAGTGGGAGCCAAGCACCAGGCAAGGAAATAGCAGACACAACCCGCACCCCCAGGAAGCAGCTCCAGCTCCTCTTCTGAAGGAAGGTACCTGTATTCAGTCCATGCTCCAACTCCTGTATGAAGCCGTGGGCATTGGCGGCCTGGGCAGCTGCCATCACCTTCTCATCACTGCAGCTCTTCAGCCCATAAGCAATGTTATCCCTCACAGAACCGGAGAAGAGCACAGGCTCCTGCCCCACCGAAGTCACCTGTGCAGAGGGGATGGGAGCAGGGGACAGTGTGTCAAGCCTCCATGGCAAGGATCCTCTTTTCCTCCTGGTCTATCTCCCTTAGAATGGGCTCCTTGTGCTTCTTCCCACGGATCTCCCATGCTCTCTGCACATGCTTCTTCCCTCCTATCTCCTGTCCCTCTTCCTCACCGCAGGCCCTCTGCCCACCACCACCCACCTGTCGGTGCAGGTAGCAGTGTTCGTACTCGGAGATGGGCTTCCCATCCAGCAGCAGCCGTCCCCCGGTGGGCTGGTACAGATTCTGCAGCAAGGCAGCCACTGTGCTCTTCCCGGACCCATTGGGCCCCACCAGAGCCGTCATCTGACCAGGGCGTAGAGTGAACGTCAGCCCCTAGAAAAGCCGAGAAACAGAGGCTTGCCCCACGGCCCTTGCCTTCTGGTTCTGTCGTGGGGAGGATCAACCTCTCAGAGACAAAAGATCTACTACAGGCCGTGCTGCCTGGGAGCCGAGGTCCGGGTTCCCTCCCTGCGGCCCCTCTCAGGCACCTTGAGCACAGGCTGGTCAGGGCGGTTGGGATACGCAAAAGAAACGTCTTGGAATTCCACCAGCCCCCGCAGAGTGGGAGGGGCTAGCGTCCCGGGCGGAGGCAGCTTTGGCTTCCGATCCAGGTACTGAAACACCTTCTCCGCAGCCCCGACGTTGCTGAGCATATCGCCGCACATGTAAACCAGGGTCTGGAAAACAGGAACGGAGGGGTCAGCTCCCCAAATGCAGCTTCACCAGAAACCAGGTCCCCAGCTCCTCGCACGCTCCCCTGCCACACTCTGTCCAGGTCAGGCTTGGTAGCAGTGTTCGTAATCGGAGATGGGCTCGTTTGTACTCGGAGGGGATACCTCCCCTCATCCGAAAAGGGTTCCCTCCCCCTAAATGTGCAATTCAGATGGAATTTAAAGGCAACCCAAGGCCCCAGCAAGCCAATCTGCAACGTAAAGGATAAAGAGGTCCGTACTCCGGTTCAGCGCTAATTCTTTCCCCAGACCCTCCAGTTCCCGCTCCGTATTACTTGTGCACCGTTCTGTTTTGCCTTAACTGGACAGGGAGCTCCTTAAAAGCAGGCACTGTGCCCACCTCATCTCTGCCACTCTAGCCACCAGAGTGCCTAGCACAGCTCTCCATACATAAAAGATGTTTCACAAATATGTAGGAAAATTATAAAATAACCACCAAGGTGAAGTAGCTATTTTTGAAAACTGGTAAATCTAGGGGAAAACCCAAATGGTATTCTGCCTTTCCTACTCAAACTGTACCACTGGGTTATCAAAGAGTGGACCAGGGTAAGTCTCCCTGGATAGATGTATTCCAGCTAATAAGTGGAGGAATGGTAGAGTGTCACAGTCTTGCGAGCCCTAATGATTTGAATGGATCTAGGCATTGAGCATTAATGGCTGATGCTACCACAGACATACATGAGAGAGATAAATGTAATATAGACACATATGTTACATAGATGAGACAAGTGGAAATATAACCCCTGTATTTGATAAATTTTAGGAACTACTGTTACACTTTTTTGGTGTAATGTGTTTCCTGGTTATATTTGTTAAATATTTATGTTTTAGAGGTATGCCCTGAGGCATTTACAGATAAAACTATATCTTGAATTTGCTTCAAAATAATATGGGTGGAGGTACAGTTGAAACAGAATGGCCATGAGTTGATAATTTTAAAGCAGGTGATGCGTACATGCAGGTTCATTATAGTTCATCTTTTTATTTTTTGGCATAAATTTGAAGTTCTCCATAATACAATGAGTTGGGGGTTGGTTTGGTTTGTATTTTTAAGGGGCTCAAACAAAGGCCAAGGCCCAGAGGCCAGAGAGAAAACGGGGCGGGGGGGGCGGTTAGTGAGAGTATGTCCAGGCTCCTGACTCACCTGCACATAATGGCCCATGTCCTCCTCATACAGCAGGAAGGAGAGCAGCCCACCTTGCGTGAGGTCCCCAGCCAGGATCTGCTGCACCCCACAGTTCAGCATTAGTACCTGCATTCCCAAGTGCACCATCTGCAGGGCGAGAAGAAAGCCCTGAAAGAGTCCACCACACAGAGTAGCGGGGACCCCACTGCCTTCCCTGTCCCTTTCTGGCTCCTACCCCCAACCACACAGCCTCCTCACCCTCTGAAAGAGTAAGTAGAGGGCACATTCCAGGTCTCGTCGCCACCACAGCTGCCTGCACCGTTCCAGAGCCTCCTTATAGAGACGGATCTCCTGGGCCTCGGCTCCAAAACTGCGCACCGTCTGCAGCCCTCCAACAGCCTCCCGCACCACCTGTCCTGCTTTCGCCAAAGCATTTTGGATGTCCAGAAGCAGTGCCTGCAGAAGTGGGCGGGGGGTGGGGGATATAAGGGGCTGATGGGGCAGAAGACAGGAGACCTCCCCGCCATGGTCTCATCCCCGTCCTGGGGATGCTCCCCCAAGCTACCTAAAAATATCTAACTGTCCTTTTCCCCTCTTCCTTACATTTCTTTCCAGAAGAACTGAGAGTAGAGAGGGAGGAAACAAAATGTTACTGAGCTCTTACTGCCAGGTAGTGTAGGGAATAGAGGCTCCTTCATTTGCTCCTTCATTTAAGGGAATTCATACCACCCGCAGTGTCTGAATGAAACCAGAAGGGATCATTTTCCTAAAGGGCCACAGCTAGTTAACAAAAGGTGGGGATGTAACTCAAAATGGATAAAAACCTAAACCAGAGCTAAAACCATAAAACTCTTAGAAGAAAACTTCAGGGCAAAGCTTCATGACACTAGATTTGGTGATGATTTCTTGGAATAACACAAAGCACAGCCAACAAAGAAAAATTGGTCTTCATCAAAATTAAAAACTTTTGTGGGAGAAAACATTTCCAAATCATGTATCTGATAAGGGGCTAATACCCAGAATAGTGAAAGAAGTCCTACAACTCAACAAGTAAAACACAACCCAATTTAAAAAATGAGCAAAGAACTTAAACAGACATTTCTCCAAAAAAGATACAGATAGATATGGCCAACAAGCCCATGAAAAGATGTTCAACACCACTAGTCACTAGGGAAATGCAAATCAAAACCACAGTGAGCTATCACCTCATAAAAATTAGGATGGTATTTTTTAAAAAGCGCTGCATATTCGTATACAGCAGAATTTTACTCCGCCATAAAAGAGAAGGAAATCCTGCCATTTGCGACAATGGAACCTGCCCAGGATGGAACCTGAGGGCATTATGCTAAGTGAAATCAGCCAGAGAGAAAGAGGAATACCGTGTGATTTCATTTATATGTGCCATCTAAACAAACAAACAAACAAACAAAAATTTCATAGGAAAAGAGATCAGGGCGCCTGGGTGGCTCAGTGGGTTAAGCCTCTGCCTTCGGCTCAGGTCATGATCTCAGGGTCCTGGGATCGAGTCCTGCGTTGGGCTCTCTTCTCGGCAGGGAGCCTGCTTAGTCCTCTCTCTCTGCCTGCCTCTCTGCCTATTTGTGATCTCTCTCTGTCAAATAAATAAATAAAATCTTTAAAAAAAAGAGAGAGAGAGAGAGAGAGAGAGAGAGAGGGATCAGATTTGTAGTTACCAGAGACCAGAGGAAGGGGTGGGGAATGGACTGGAAGAAAGTGGTCAAAAGGTAGAAACTTTGAGCTGTAAGCTAAATAAGTACCGGGGAATGTAATAAAGAAGAAGCAAACAAGAAACAAACAGAAAATAAGTGCTGGAGAAGGAGGAGGAGAAATCGAAACCCTTGTGTATTGCCAAGGGGAATGTCAAAAGTTGCAGGCACTATGAAAACCATTATGGTGGTGGCTCTTTCAAATATTAAAAACAGAATTACCATAACATCCAGCAATTCTGCATCTGGGTATATCCCCAAAAGAACTGAAAGCAGAGACTCGAACAAATATTTGTACACCCATTTTACAGCAGCATTATTCACAATAGCCAAAAGGTAGAAGCAACCCAAGCATCCGGAAAGAGATGAATGGATTAACAAAACGCGGTCTATGCATCAATGGCATATAGCCTTAAAAAGGAAGAGAATTCTGACATGTGCTACAACAGGGATGAACCTGGAGGACAGTACACTAAGTGAAATAAGCCAATCACAAAAAGACAAATACAGCATGATCCCACTTACATGAGATACCTAGAGTAATCAGATTCATGGAGACAGGAAATAGACCTGTCATTGCCAAGGGCTGGAAGGAGGGGAAGTGGGGAAGTTATTATTTAATAGGTACCAAGTTTCAGCTTGGGAAGATGGAGACAGTTTCTGGAGATGACTGGTGGTGATCCTTGCACAACAATGTGAGTGTACTTAATGCCACTGAATGGCACAATAAAAAATAGTAAAAATGGTCAATCTTATGTTATGTAAACTTTACCACCACTTTTCTAAAAAGAGAGAAAGCAGAGCTGATACTCAGACTCAGGACTTCCTGACTGCACTTTTCTACTTTCTCTACACTCCACCCAAATTGATTTGCCCTGATTAGAAAGGGGAAAACTCTACCTAAAATCCTCCAAGACAGCATTTTTAATCTTTCTGTGGAGAAGGTATGCCCAGACTCCTTTGAGAATCTAGTAGGAAGTTATCCTGTTTCCAGAAAAATGCTCCCTCTTCTTCTCCCACTCTTCTCTCTCTCTCTCTCTCTCTCTCTCTC